CACCTAGTTTTCTTCCACCAATTTCTCTATTGCGCATCCATGGAGCATTACTAGCTGCCAACGTTTCACGCATTTTCTTGCCATTTTTACGCTGTTTATATCGTGCCCTTGAACATTCCCTTATTTTTTCGGACGGTAATTACTGTTCCATTTTTGAGTGCGCATATTCTCTCAACTGTCGCGCTTACTCACAGATCTTGTGCAATAAGTGGGGTAGGCGCAGCATAAACTTACCTTTTCGGCGTTCTCTCGACCATTCTGAGGAGTTCGACAGAGTCTACCTTCAATGCTTATCTTTTCGCGTTGAAGTTTATCGAATCTGGCTTCTACTTGCTGCCAGTCTTCGGTAGTTGTAGGATCAGAAGCCAAATTGGCCCTCATCGCTATTACTGACCGCATCAGCTGGGGCGAACCTTGCTGATCAATTGCATGAGAAGACATGACATGTGATGTGTTTTGATTTACGATATGAGTTCGTGGTTGTCCAATAGATCCCTTTTCATGATCATTTATTCGGATATTTTCCAGTGCCCTGCCATCATCTACTCGAGCGGGTATCACAAGTCTCTCGTTTGTCGAAAGGCCCTGCATTTGTGCCTGTCCCAAATCATTGCCATTATCGAGGAGTCCTTTTTCATCGACACCATCAAAAGACATCATTGTATTCGGTCCTCCAGGTTGCCTTGAAAAAAGATGGTTTTGACAGTCTTGTTGCTGAAGAATCTTCGAAACACTTCCATCGATGTTTCCAATCGGATGATTACTGCTCACAGGCGATTCCTGATGGACAAGCTTATCATCAGTTTTGCCGGATTTGGTATTTTGTAAGATTGGAGACCTGGGCAAACCACTCCCAAAAAATCCAGCTGGCAACTGGGAGGACTCTGACATCGAGTAGCTTTGTTGTGCTGTTGGGGCACCTGCTGTGTTCACCTTAGACCTACCATCCAAATAACCACTTATACATTGATCGGAGGAACCACTTGGTTTTTGGTAATAGGTACTATGAGATACGTTCTCCTCACCTGGAAATAGTCTCCGCTGTTCTGACATTGGTTTGACGTAAATACCAGAGTCAACATGTTGATAGCAACTCGTCTGAGGAGCTTGAGCGGAAAGGTTTGGTGGTCTTTCCAACATTTTGGATTGCGAACCCACGCAACAACTACTTGTCGGGCATTGACTCACTGCATGTACGTGGCTTGATAAGTTTGACTGATAACCATGCTTACAAGGTTCAGAGTGTGAAACAGAGTAAGATGGAACAGAGTAAGACGCAGTTTTTGATGATAGTGATGAAGATGATGGCAGCTGAACGACTTGAGGATGACCAGCACATTTTAAATGATGAGTGTGATAAGGAGGTGGAAAGCCAACACTTTGAATGCGATGCATGTTTTGTTGAGAGTGTGTATGTACTGGATTCACGTGATGACCGAAGTGACAGCAACCCGTGTGTCTGGCATTGTTGGGATGTACCAGCAGTTGAGACCCACAGTAGGATGCCCAGTGATGCTGGTGTCCTGGAGAAAGTGGATTTGAAGCAGAATGAAAGATACACATTTATGACGGCTTTCGGGAGTAAAACTGGGAAATAAAATGTTGTGCTGTCTTAGAATTGTCTTACCTGTCACATTCAGCAATAAATCGACAGATCTTTGATCGGAATAATTTGGATCAAGTGTAGAGGACCATTATACCATTTGAGAACTGGTTTCGGATAGTTTGCATTTAGGCCAGTAGACTTCACGGCGTTTAAAAATAAAATTCATGTAAGGTTAGGTGATTGGTTGGATTCTATTATGTTGTACACAATGTCGGTTCCAGAATGAATTTCGTTCCGATACCGCCGCTTACTGTACGGGCCAAAGAACATTGACAGTTGAGGGATACACTAAAGTTTCATGTTCCAAAGGGCACATCGACCCAGATTGTTCGTGATCATAGCGTGAAAAGGAGATTCGTAATAACATTCGGTGTAACGGATTTGGAACTCTCACACTATGTGAGTAGCATCCGCTCAGACTGAAAGGTATGTTCATTGGAGTAGTTTGTTTTTCCAATCGATAATTTGCAAGCAAACTTTTGATCAGTAAATGAAACAGTCTCCGGAGGAACCACGAGGGGTTCAAACCTTAATGGAGGACTTAATATTCCTACCATTTTGCATATTTGGGCATACGTCTAAAGGACATCATGATGGATGAAGATGGCTTTATTTAAGCCATAATGCTCAGTCGACTAGACATGAGGGCCATCCTGTTGTAAAGCGCTTTCAGCCGACAAGAAAGTTGGAAATTCGGTCCCCCTCCTTGTCTGTCTGCTTCGGTCCTCCTCCTTGTCTGTCTGTATACCTAATGATGAATCGCCCAACATGACTAAATCGTTATTGTACGTCCATACGACGTTGGTAGTGGTTGCTTTTACGAGAACCTTCAGATATAGAGTTTGATCCTACCACCAGTGGAACAGACCATATATGAATAAAGGGGTTTTAAACCGAGAGCGCCACATATATGTCTGACATAGACTTAGATCTTCAGCCCCAAAGATGACTGAGCTTACCGTCGACGTGTGCCTTGCATTCTGATATAAAATCGTCTTGGCGCGAATGAGCTGCTCTTCTGGACCGGCTTTTCTGCCTGAATTTCTTTTTCAGTCTTTTGCGAGACTTTGATCGTCTGTGAGAGTCTGTGTCGTCTTGTGATGTATCGTCCGGCAATGGTAACTCAGTGGCACGATGAGACCAGGGGACGGTTGAGTGATAACGCTGTGCAGGTGGGCCGTTCCCCAAAGGAACCTTCTTTGCTGGTCCAAGCCAATGGTTCTCATATAAATCGTTTGGAGGCATCATCACGGCTGCAACCTGATATCCAGTTGGTTGATTTCCATACCCCTGCAGCTGGTGTTGACTTTGAGGAAGTTGATAGGTACCAAATGGAATACTCTGTGTGGAATCTAACGAAGTTTGCATTTCGTTGCCAGCCGACAATAAATTAGGATTTAAGGTAGGGCGTGCAAACAGTGACCTACAATACAATGTAGTAGGATATGTAGTGTAAATTTTTTGGCGTTTTGACATTAACTATAAAAATGCGCAACAACACTCTCTTTTAAATGTAGGTGCGAACGTTTTCCTTCAGGTATTGACTACCAACCAGACAAAATAATGTGACCATTCTCAGGTAATCACACTATCGTCTGGTTAGATCGACAACCAACCGAAACCAAAATTCTTCACTTTGATCCAGTTTGACAACTGAGAAAACCGTTTAACGGAAGCATGGTTTTACGGGAAATACCCTAACCAAAAGGTTGTGGGTTCGATTGCATTGCACTATGCTGACGAGTTCCAATAAGGACGACCGTGCCGCTCAGCTTTTCAGGACAGGCACTTGAGCTTCACTGTCAATGCAACATTTCATTTTGTCCTATGTTGAATTGGGGCACGTCCGATGGACTGAATTTTTAACCATCAACCCTACGCATTTTATTCCTGTTAGTAAGGTTGGATTTCTTATTCTGTTTTCCCAACTGAGAGTCCTAATTGTCCATGGATCCAGTATCCTGTCTCTTGCATCGCTTTTACCACGTATAGAATATCATCACATCTGTGCTCAAGGCTCATTTCCCTACTTTGATTGACATACACGGTTGTTGTATAACAGAGGTGTCTCCTCAAAAAACGTCCTTCAACTTGCAGCACTTCTTGAATGGAAAAATTCGCAGAAAATTCACGGCGATTTTTCGAACAAATTGGTATGAAAACGTCCATCACAATGCAGTCACAATTGTACTATCCATCATCCGACCTAAAATGCCCTTAGTCTGTTGACTATACTGAAGTCTTACGCCAGGTAACCTTCCAAAACCCAATGCAAGAGACAAATTCCGCAATACACGCCTGCAGTTTAAGAAGAAATTTCATCGGGCTCAACTACCAAGCAATTCTAGACACGGTCAAACCAGAGTTAAAAAGCATCTGGAATCACAATAAGCATAGTGGGGCGACTTGCTTGGGGAAATCGTACGGATGTAAAAACCAGCTTTAATAGTGAAGCGATCTCCTTAATGGAGGGTGAATGCATATAACTTGAGTTGAGATAATGATCAGCTATGAATTATTTTGTGGCGGTCTAAAAATGGTTCCAAGAATTTTTATTGCAGAGCGAAGCATTTGTGATCATTAGGAAGATGGCTTGTATTCTGCTTGTTCAGTGCTTCGATGAAACCACATCTTCCTGTGGAATGGGTTTGGGATCTTCTTTACAGGTTGTGTAAACATTGTAACGGCAATAGCTTGAGGGTAGCATCAATTACCGTCTCGAACTTTCACGATCAAACCAGATTGGCTTCCCATGCTTTTGCGCTCCTGTAGTGAAAGTTCAGTACGTGTCCATTCTCTTGCTTGTGAATACGCTATAAACTACACCACACCTAATAGATTATTCAGTTTTTCTCAGTGTGCTTAACTCTTAATTTCTTATTACTTATGAGTGCTTCAATAGGTTGCCTAAATTTTTGAGCGAAAGTTCATTGAGAACAATTTTGTAGTGCTTATGATATTTTGAGGAACTCCGCAGCAACTGGTTTTGAACTGAGATGTCTTGAAGTTGTTTGGTGTTAAAACTGTCAAAAGGTTGGAATGTTTGGAATGGCAACCCTGCACTTAGCGTTATGTTTTCTTAAGGCAGTCAGTTAAACAAGTGTTCCACAATCTATTGGACTTCATTCGTACTGGATAGGGTGAATATACTTCAAAACAATTTTCACCAGATGCGCTTTCCTCAGGCTTCCCCTACAGTCGGCAAGTGGATCGGAGTACCCACTGGATTGCTCCTCACGCGGGTAAATGTCATTACGAGAATTTGAAATTGCAACACATTGTCTATCCAGACGGTTTTGTTGAAAATTGAGCAGGAACGCGGTTCCTTGACTGGCTCGTGTACTGGGATGTTCTGCTACTCGAGTACGTGCTAGGAATTTCTGGCTAGATAATCCTTCAGCTTCCGAAATTATGCTACATTTTTTGCAGCGTTTTTGTTATGTCATTTGCTGCCTCGGCCTTGTCCAGCAGGCTAATACCCCATAACCTACAACTAGACAAACCATTCATTGTTTACCATTCAGCTCACATAATGTCCTCACTGGAATTTGTCATTTAGGTGTGCAGGGCTGATCAGAGCCTGGCCGTTTTCAGCATGCACCGCAGAAGCAAAAATGGGTCCTTTCGTTAATATCACAACATCGTAATTATGATTTTATGAACGCATTTATTACAAAGCTATCAGTGCTCTACCTTGCGGAATAGAAAAATGTATCGCAAACAACTTGCTCAAACACTGAAAATGCTTGGGGCTCATGTGCATCTTAAAAATTCTTGGACCGGAGACTCGATGGATTGGCTTGTGACCAATAGCTATTCTTGTGCACGATATGTATCAGACTGGCTGCCTCGAGATTCCTATTCAGTGTAATTTGCTTTTTTACACACATGTGGTATGAGAGACATCAGCAAGCTATTGATGACAAGGGACTCTACAGAGACTCCATCCACTTCAGAGTGCTTATGAGATCCACAGTCTGATTTTAACCAACTTGCCATGTAAATCAAGGTTTTACTTCCAATATTCATTGGAATACAACCATTTGATGGATGGTCTCCCCTTGAGTTTGAGCGACTGTCCCACATTACATGCGGGTAGCCTTATTCGATATAATGCACCATCATACCTCATATGCTCTTGATGCCATGGACGAACATCTCACTTCTACGCTGTATATCACACCAGCCATAAGGTAAGTTTTCGAACGGATCAGTTCTTGATAATATGCATACAACGAAATAAAAGGTATATGTGTTTCTTAAGCTTCGAGAAATATACTTATAAGGGGGAATAATAGTAGGAGCTATCATTTAGCTACTGTTTCTTATTCTTTCGGCACCAGTGGCCGTCTACTAGACCCGACGGAATACCAGTATCACTAATGGGAATGTGCTTGCATTACGCGTCAAAATATGCGAGAGGAAATTATTTCATTCCAGATAGATATCAGCCAGCAATAATTCTATTCGGTTGCCTGTGGCTGTGCAGTCGATTATCTGTCTTGAAGTAACAAGTCGTCATGATGGCACAGTTTGTCTTATCTGTGATATAGTTGCCAATGTGATCTCATACTGGTGCAGAAGTCATGAAGAGATGTGAATGTTTCAAAAGCGTCCGATACATATGACCAAGTAAAGCATGTGAGAATACGAACTAGCAACACTGATTCAAACAACAGAGATTGTAATGGGCCAATTTTAAGGACGCGGACACTTAAATCACAGCTAAATATTTCTGCCTATGATATTAAGCCAAGTTGTCGTCTGAAATTGGACAAATTCACAAAGGTCCGCATATTCTGGTCAAGTGTAAGGAATTGTGTGAGTGGCCATATCAGTCAGTGGGGCGAAAGCAGAGCAACTGATATCAGCTGGACGAATAAGATGGACTAGCTATGATGGAGCTGAGGAAAAAGATGTCGGACTTGCTAGTATGAAGATGAAAGGTAGAAGAAGCTCACTGCTGGGAGCGAATTTGGCAGGGTTAAATAATAAGGGAAAATAAATGACGAAAAAGATACATGCAGCAAGTGGTTTCTCAGTACTCTTGTAAGCACAGAAGCGGATTAAAACTATACATCACTTTAGTGCCGTTGCAGTTTTCTGTGGTTAGACATGTAAATCACTTCAAAAGTCGTCGTTCAGTGCACACTGTGGCCACTAACCGAATGATGTTTAGTGCTGGTGGATTCCGGACACCATTACACTACTCTAACAGGTCACATTGAACTACTTCCCTATTCTTGCTCCAAGGTGCTTCTTTGTTCAGACTGTGTACTTATCTCCATAATTACCCTCGAACTGCTCAATCAAATCGGACTTAGCCGGCGAGTTAGCTGGGATCTATTTGGGGGTGAATGTTGTTTGCCCGAAAAAATCATTGTACAGCAATCTGGACACGTTTGATTGTTGCATTTAGATGATGGTTAATCAGGGATGACAAGTAATCACCCCCTAAAGAGCACAGACCTTTGGGGGACGGTTAGAATGTGGTTCCGTAATTTCGGCTGACAATACAAGAGGCAATATTTAGGGTTGCACTTTTTAGTACAGATTTCTTACCATTTCTATAAGCGAATTTAAGTGCACGTACCAACGGAATTGATCAAATTACTGTTACGAAATCACCCTTGAGTCAAGAAACAGGTACGCCGCCAAAGGCCGACTAACAGATTGCTAAACGACTAGAGTAAAGATGGGTATCACATCTTCTTACCCAAGCTCATCTATTCAGAAAACGGCACCATGCACAATTACTTATTCTTATTCGTAACAGACAGTTTCCTAATCAGATGATTTTGCCTCTTTTGCCTACGTGAGAAACACACGTTAGTTATAAAGCACATTCTATTGGTTTGTTCCATACTAATGAATTTCTACAGTCCTGAGCGATACATTATCTGCCCAATTTTTTAGAGTACATTCGGATAAACAGATAGAAAATAGGTCCAAAGTAGAAATCAAGTTGACAGGTATACTGTAAGAATAATTGATTTGGTATGCAGAACTATTTGTTTGCTGAAGGAAGTGACGTACTTCAGCTGATCAGCTTGCTTAGTTGCCTCCCGTAGAACATTCGGTGTTTCTGTCAAAACTGCTGGCTCTGCAGTCCGATTGTTCTTGCTTGACACATCAAGAACTGTGCTGCACAACTTGTCAAGGCGCTTTAAGATTGCCTTGGTAGGATTGATGACTTTGCCAGGCGATTTATTCTGTGTGGTACTTGTACTGCTTTCACTTGTACTTGACAAGTACTCATCCATCGCTTGACCAAATCGGATTTTTTTTCTACCGCAGGCTTCGACAATCGATTTATTTGTTTGAACCAGCTATTTCGGTGAAAATAAGTGAAGATAAAGTCGAAGTAAAAGGCAACCAAGCAAAATTCCGTTTTAATGAAAGTGCAAATGTTGAGAACGTAGGTTCGTGCACCAATAGCATGCGACAATTAGATGATCAGAGGTTGGCACAAGTTGACGGAGAATTTAGTGAACTAGAAGCATAGCGATGAAGATATATTGTACGAATAAACATCTGCATCATAAAGCTTTGTTATGAAAAATTGAAACCTACCTGGTCGAAGGAAAAGTGTAACATTAAACGTCTGATATATCGCAATTTGAAGTTTCAGTCAGACTGATCGGAGGGAACCCGAAGTCGAGAACACAAAGCCAATCAACATACGCTAGCATTTTGTGTTTGGAGATGCTCAGATAGTTGTATGAACCTTATTTAGGAGAGNTATAAAAATACGCAACAACACTCTCTTTCAAATGTAGGTGCGAGCGTTTTCCTTCAGGTATTGACTACCAACCAGACAAAATAATGTGACCATTCTCAGGTAATCACACTATCGTCTGGTTAGATTGACAACCAACCGAAACCAAAATTCTCCTTGATCCAGTTTGACAACTGAGAAAACCGTTTAACGGAAGCATGGTTTTACGGGAAATACCCTAACCAAAAGGTTGTGGGTTCGATTGCACTATGCTCAACTGACGAGTTCCAATAAGGACGACCGTGCCGCTCAGCTTTTCAGGACAGGCACTTGAGCTTCACTGTCAATGCAACATTTTACAGTGTCCTATGTTGAATTGGGGCACGTCCGATGGACTGAATTTTTAACCATCAACCCTACGCATTTTATTCCTGTTAGTAAGGTTGGATTTCTTATTCTGTTTTCCCAACTGAGAGTCCTAATTGTCCATGGATCCAGTATCCTGTCTCTTGCATCGCTTTTACCACGTATAGAATATCATCACATCTGTGCTTAAGGCTCATTTCCCTACTTTGATTGACATACACGGTTGTTGTATAACAGAGGTGTCTCCTCAAAAAACGTCCTTCAACTTGCAGCACTTCTTGAATGGAAAAATTCGCAGAAAATTCACGGCGATTTTTCGAACAAATTGGTATGAAAACGTCCATCACAATGCAGTCACAATTGTACTATCCATCATCCGACCTAAAATGTCCTTAGTCTGTTGACTATACTGAAGTCTTACGCCAGGTAACCTTCCAAAACCCAATGCAAGAGACAAATTCCGCAATACACGCCTGCAGTTTAAGAAGAAATTTCATCGGGCTCAA